TGTGCTTTATGCCTGTAAGCATTCTTTCTCTGGCCTTCATCTAAGCTTTAGGTGTTTCTACCTTTGAGCATATAGGTAAGTCTAGAGTCAGGTGTGTAGACAGGTTTTTCATGTATATTTACTCACCAACTGTATCTATAACCACACCTTCTGGTGTAAACCACTTAATAAAAATAACGAACTATAAAAAAGTGTTTTTAAATCTGAAAGTATGTATTCAGTCTTTTTTATTGCATGTATTGAGATTGTGCAAGATATCCGATGGAAAGATTTGAAAATAGTTTGTCCCCAAAAATATTTATTATACAAAATGAGCAGTTTTGGGTGGTGTCCTACTGCTTCAAACTCTAAATTTGTATCCAGCTGTTGTCTTTACCCTAGTTTGTATTGCTTTTCTATGTTTAAAAGAAGATATATGGTATGCACAAAAGAGGTGATGTGAAAAACAGCCCAATTACTTACATGTAGCCTTAAACACAATGGGCCATGTACATCAGAACCTTCAATAATCATTGTTTCGGTTAATAGTAAATATGCTTTACAATTAATGGTAATGTGCATATATTAATGTACATTACATTTTTTACCCTTAGTTCTTTGTTTTCAATATTTTTTTAAAAAAATACTAAACTAAGCATAAGCAGATGCAAGTATATTGCCCCTGAAGCTCAACCTTGTATGTTATTAAAAGTAATTATGCCAAACAGGAGCACATTTAGATATATTTCAACTCTTAATCTGGGCCTGTGACACTAGGAGACCTAGACCTGGTTGTCTTAAGGCTGATGTGGAAATGTATTTATAGAATGCTAAGTTTCCACTAGGAACAGGGGCAAAGAAAAATACATTTCTTTTATGATTTTTTTTAATAGAAGTAGGAATAACTCCCCAGTATTTCACTGTAAACATCTCTGGGAGTGAACCTAAGAAACAGCAATGGGCACAATTTTGATAAATTACGTATCTTCCACTTTCTGTAAAGTTAACTGCTGAATGTGCCTATGAAATGCCCCTTAAAATTCAGGCCCTTTGAGCTTCCTGAAGATAAGATAGGGTGATTTGTTAATGTTCTAAATTAAATGAAGGTTTAATATGATTATTAAAAGTGTGAGTATGCAAGAGGAATGTGTCTCTGATCTTATCCTGTCAATGTTCATGGAGTGCCACTCGTCCTCAGAATCTAACACCAATTTGGTGGATCTAAAAATAAAAATCATATACTGTATCAGTTGTGACACTATTTGCAAATCTTGAAATGTGGAACCAATAGGTCATTTAACCATTAGATTGACTTTGCCCCCCCCCCTCCTTCCTGCAAAACAAATACAATGGGTTTGTATATAATTGTTCTATTATTTTGATCAAAAAGTTTAATAAATTTTAAATGTTTACCTGAATTTGTACTGTGTACTTTAAAACTTTTTCATTTTTTTTCTAAATTTGCATTAAACGCTATATATATATATATATATATGTATATATATATGTATATGTATATATATGTGTGTGTGTGCATGTTTTCGCTGGTATTTACATGTATGGTATTAAGGTTTCTTTGGGTATTTTCCCACGTCTTAATATTTGTGCTTTTATTATTATAGTTTCTGCAGAATCTCATCTGCCATCCCCAGGCTGGGTTCTTTTTAATCTTGTGTGTCAGGCTTGGCAGCGTTTTTTTGTTTGAATTTGGTGCTGGCTTTCTGCTTTATCTGAATGGTTTTTTCCTCATCCTGATTGGCTGGGAGTCTAGGTCTGTTCTTATTGGTCTTTGAGTTGCTGTGTTCTTGATTGGTTGGCAACATTGTGTTTTGTGCATTGGGGTTTCTTAGTGCAGGTTGGTTTCTTGTGAATGGCCAATAATTAAATAATAGGAAGCTAGGTTTTATTTGGGTAGCTGGCTGGGGCGTGTTTGGGCTAGAGGTATTGGGGCGGGGGGGTCTGTTTGTGTCCAGGTGCTTGCCTGGATTGTGGTATAGAGATTTTTTTGTTTGTGAGTGCAGGCTTCCAGATGATTGATAGTCTGGTGGAATCATCTCTTCTATTCATACTATTAGATCTTTTATCAATCTCTATGGCTTCTCTGATGATTCTGTAGCTGGGGTTTTCTATAGTGGCTTGGGTTTTGGTGCCATTGAAGTCGATGCTATGACCAGTAGCTTTCATATGTTGGACTAATGAGGAAATGTGTTCCAGCTTTTTTATTGCATTCTTGTGAACACAAGATGTTTATTTAGAACACAAGATGTTTATTTATGTTTATTTAGTTTCATCATACATTAGTGCACTAGAGAATTCAAAAGCAACATATAAGTTTACTCTTTCTTTATTGGTTTAGCACTGAGCAAACAAAAATATGGACATCTGATGTACTATTTCACAGCTTACTGATTTGATAAAAAGCTGGAAAATAACCATTTTATATGCTCACCATTTATCTGACATGATAGCCAGTAGTGACATTGTCATACAACTATTGTACATACTTCGATTCATTTTTTTTTAAAGAGTGAAATCCGCAGTACAAATGTGATCACACGGTAGCTAATTGAAGAACAAGCGATTTTTGAATAATCTTGGCTAATTTACTAGATCAAGGCAAATCCCCATTTCATAAAATCTATGATGGCTTCCAATAAATGAAATTTAAAAGAACAAAGTTTCTCTTTTCAGATGATGGTGTATTTATTTAATTTGCAATCATCAAGATAATGATCTACTAAACTATGGTCTAAAACAACAACAACTGGTCACTAAACCTGTTAAGTCAACCCATCAACACAGCTGCTATCTGGTTTTTTTTTCCAAAGAATCTGTTCAAGACAAACTATAAAACCTGTGGTGCCTCCACCTTTATAAATATATAGCAACTAGATAAATTAAAAGTTATTCAGTTGATCAAATAGCATTTACTGCAAATGATGCAAGCTTGTAAAAGATGCGTGGACTTCATTTCTCAGAATTCCCCAGCCAGCCATGCATTTTGGAAATTGAAGCGCACACATTTAACGCTGCCAAAGTTGAGCAGCATTGCAATAGGATGATCTGAGGGGCACAGTATCAGTTATTCATTCCAGTTCTAACTCAAGCATAAAATAAATCACATGCCAAATAAGATCAAAATTGGTGTAAGAAAAAAAAAATTACACCAATACTATAGAAACATAATATAGATCCTAATCATCCCCCTCACAAAAAGCAAAACAAATTTTCATTAGGAAGTCCATAATGGCAGAATATTCACGGAATCAAAACAAAACAAAAAAACCAGCAGCTGGTATTGCATGACTGAAATCCCACCTCCTCATCCCAGCGCACATAAAAAGGGGATGGGACTTCGTTTTCAGGGGTGCAGCTGCCATCTTGACTGATATTCTACCCCCTCCCACACTTTTAAATTAAACCCTCTTGAGAGAATAGCTATGAAAGTACTTAATCAAGCCAACCTTTCGGCAATGCTATGCATGCTGTAACCCAGAAGCTGCCTTCACACATAAAGCTAAGGCAATTTTTGTTTAATGACACTTTATTAAATAAGTTGTACTGTCTGGTTTATACATCGTGTAAATCATAAATGTATCTCATCCTTTATTGTAACCGATGAACAATAAGACCTTTAAATAAAAGTAACAAGAGGCTACAATGCATTGTTTTTTGTATGAGAAAATCTCAAGTCTTACTAGGCTAGAAGCCAGGCAGCTAAAATGTATAATGAGAGGCCTTAAAACAATGCCAGTTCAATGCTGAGCTTGCAGGTTTAATTGTGGCCTTTGCTCATAGTTTTCAGCATAAGGATATCCTCCCTTAAAATATCATTTTCTTTTAGGGGTTATTGAAACTATGTCCAGAACCTAGCATAGGCCCTATATCTTTAGTCCCCAATTTTTGTAAGGAATGGGGAAGCCTGGATGGCCCGCACCACCACTCATACTTTGTAAATCTTCCTTATGAATAGAACATGGAAATCATAGAAGACATTTTTCAGACTAGAAATGAATCTTCCTTAACATTTCTATCAGATACTATGACTCAATGTTGAACATGTGGAAAGAATGTGTGTGAATGTCAAGCCATCTATCCATGCCTTGTCTTTATGCTCATTGTGTTTCCATTCTATATAACAGGGATCTGGCCTGTTGCACATCTAGAATAAAAACAGCAATATGCAGGAGAGGGAAAAAAGCCATTCTCTCTCTCTTCCCCTCCCTCCCTCCATCTCTCTCTCTCTCCCTCCCTCCCTCCCTCTATCGATCTATCTATATATTCCCAGCTCCTTGCGCATCTACGGCAGAAAGAAAGAAGAAAACCAACATGGAAAAGCGAAGACAGCAAAGCAGCTTCTGACAAATGGATATTTCTTCTATAACTGCCATCATCCACCCTGAGCAAATTCCTATTCACACAGAACAGACCAGTGGCTAACAGCTACAGCATTTGTGATTAAAAAGGCAGACCCAGCTACCCCAATATGACTCACTGGTGATGACTTAGAACATTAAGCAATGCCTTGAAATCAGAGACAAGAGATTTCTGTTTATCAGTCAAGAGGGGAAAACGGAATGGGTAATGCTATTTTCCCACAATGAACTTCTTGGAAGAAATTCCTCAGGGCTTGCTTTCTTATAAGTTTTCTGACCACACAATTTTGGGCTGACTGAGAAAAATCAGATTATGTATTACTAAACCATTGTCTCAGCAGCTGCATACAAACTTTTGCTGGAAACAGAAAGAAAAGGTTCCACATTAAGACATACACATATCAAAAACACTCTGCACTGATTCATGTTTACATTTCAAAGCGCCTTACTAATTCATTTCATCTCAAGTAGGAAAAGTGTACTCTTAAGAAATGTTAGGCCATTCTACTTTAGTTGTCCATAGCTTTCTTTTTTTGAAATTACACTGGTGTCTTTTTCACAACTAATCAACACGAGTCTTTTCACAACTGGACAAATTGTACATTAATTCCTTCCCAGGAATATTCACAGAATATTTGGGGGTGGTTTTTTTTTCCCTACACTGTTCATTCTTGCAATAATAGTGACGAAGAAAAATCTTCAGCAGGATAATGAAATGTGGGCCCCTGTGCATGCTGAACAACATATCCCAATATCCTTTGCTACTGGCCCAAAGTTGGAGTTTCCTGGAAGTTGTAGTTCTGGTTTCCCCACTCCTGATCTAAGCTACACTATATTAAATCATGCAAATAGGGATTTACATATAAGAGCAGTTGGGTAGTTGGACATTCTTCATTTCCTTTTGCAAGAGCCTTTTATGCAATAAAACATACATCCCCGTATTATGATTATACAATTTGAAAATTTCTTCAGTTCACCGCTTTATAATGCCTGGATGAAGTTTGTGACAATTTGCAAAAGAAACAAATTCATTTCTTTTTACAAGGAGCTGCTGGAAGCTGTGATTGTCAACCGTTTTCCAATATAAATCCTGAAACACAAAAACAACCAAGTAAGAATTCTGATGAATTTGAACTGCAATTGCATTTTCAAACTCGCCTCTTTTCTTGTGAATGTAAGTCAGTTATAGACACAAATCACTCAAAAATGGACTAATCTGTGCAGCTTTTTTTTCCAATTTTGGTAGCTTTAAGATGTGTGGACTTCAATTGCCCAGCTGGCATTCCCAGATTCTAGATTTTATTTTCAAATGTAATTGTTCAAAAATATTCTTGACATACATTAGAAGCATAAAATGAAAATAACATTATCAGTCCAGGTGATACTACAGGTAGTCCTTGACTTATGATGACCACTTAATGATCATTCGAAGGTATGATAGATCCCCCCAAAAGATATATATTATGAAAGTTCCAATGGTTGCAATCACATGATTGCATTTTGGATACTTGACATATGGCCTGAGTTTATAGCCATTTGCAGTGCCTCATGGTCACTTCAATGCAATGTATAGTTTTTGCTGCCACATTTTCTTAACAACCATTGCATTTGTTAGCGATTATGATGTTCATTTAACAACCGTGGCAAAAAAAGACCATAAAATTGGGCATGGTCCCATGACCCGTTCAGCAACCAACATGACTTACAACTATAATTCCAGGTGTAATTATGGTTGCAAGTTGAGGTTTACCTGTATCAAAACATGTTTTCCATTGATTTCACATTCATTTGTATGCTCATTCCACAGTTTAATTATGAACAAATGAATTAGATCATTTCATAAACCTGCGAATTTATGAGTAACAACTACTTTTGCAACAACAGTGTATAACATAAGACCCCAGTGACTGGTCTTATAAACAATAGGAGGCATATCTGTCAGGTTGTACAATGCAGCAAATGATGTGATTGATATCTGAGAGGAGTCACTAGGAAGTCATTGAGTGGATTCTCACCACACTTGAAGCCATAATGCAGTTAGGATTTTAGGACTTAAGACTATGTGTACATATGGACTACAAGTATATACAAGGTAGGGTACCGATAACCTGCCAGCTAAATATTTTCCACACATTAACATTTATAAAATCAGGGTATTTTTATAAAATGCTTTTTTAAAAAAGCAGAAGGCAATCTGCTGTAAAATTATAAGGCCAACATGTGGTCTTCTCAGAAGCAGGCACTTGATGCCATTCAGATGTTGAGTACAATTCCCAGCATCTTTCATCATTAACTTGGCTTCCTGTGGATGCTGGAAGTTGCTTTTCATCAACATCTGGACTACCATCAATGGCCTAAACTGGATTCCCCTCTTTTGGTGCACTCTGTAAATTACGAAATGTTAGTGACCGAGCTTCCAAATGACATCTTAGCAATTGTGAACCCAGCCTCAAGCTTCCCAGGATTGTGAGCAGGAGCTTTTTCAATCCTACCTGGAATGGTCAGGGAGTGAATGCCACACCTTTTGCAGCTAAGGAACGTGCTGTGCTAGTAAGCAGTGGTCTCTCCCTCTCTCCAATAGTACTAGGAGGAGTCAAGAAGGTCTTGTTGATGCAGCCCACTAGATTCCTGGCTGTCAGAGTAGATGATCTAAAACGAATCCTTACCCTAATCCAATGGCAAGCAGATGGGAGAGCAGCAGAGATGGCAAGAAAATCTTCAAGAATTCTGCAGAAAATATGCCTCCCTTCTTCATCACACTTGTGTTTCTCATGCTGAGTGTAGCTGCGCGCTTTGGGTGTTTAAAGAGAAATTCCCTGGTTTATGAGAAGATAAAAACATTTTTTTATTCGGAACAGTTTGCAATCCCATTTATCTATATATATAAAAAAGCAAAATACCACTCACACATCATCACAAAATGTCCCAAATCATAAAGCTACACACTTGAAATTTGGCATGTATGTTCCTCTTGGCTTCTAGGTGCTCACTAAGAAAGGATTTTTCGAAATGACCATCAGAGCATTAGTATTTTGTATATTATTATTAATACGCTCTGATGCTAAGGAGTTCTGCTCCCCCTCCCCACCTGAAAAGAAATCTGTTCCAAATGCAAAACACAAGCAGCAGAGAGGAGTTTCAGTTTTAGTTTCACAGCACCAAGCAGCTTTAATACAGAACAGTTGAGTTAAGCCACGCACAGGCTCCTTGCTGTCTTCTTGCTCACACAGCAAACACTATTTCAGTTTCCAAACAGCCCTCAACTCTCTCACACAGACAGGACTCTAGCCAGATGAATATCGATGGATGCTGGTAGGCAGAAGCAGAATTTTTCCCCCTTATTTTCCTCCCCCAAAACTAAGCCCGACCACATAGTTTTGTAGCGAAGCACGGGTATCGAGCTAGTATATTTATAATAATGGAAACAAACAAATCTGCATTGTTCATTATCAAGATCACTCACTTGGGGGGAATATTCTCAGGCCTACTTGACCAGTCCCACATCCAATCTGAATTTTTCTTCAGAAGCCGTTCAACTTCTTTCCTTCTTTCCAGAAAATCTTCTTCAGACTAAAACAAAGATAAGTACAATCAAGTGACCTGGGTCCATTCTCAGAATAGAAATATCTAAGGACTTTGGATCCAGGGTACCACTTCTTTGCTCCTTAAAGGCTTTGTGGCTTTTCCTGGAGTTTCATAGTAGAAATATAAGTCCAAGTACACAGTTTGCGTGAAGGAGGTACTAAAGAGGCACAAAGTCTCAGGAGAGATGCAGCTTGAGAAGCCACAAATAAATGAGAGTGTCACATGGATCTATCCTTCTGTCTCTCTGTCTGTCTGTCTGTCTATCTATCTATCAATCTATCTATCATCTATCATCTATCTCAGGGGTCCCCAAACTGACAACTTTTAAGACATTTGGACTTCAACTTCCAGAATTCTCTAGCCAGCATAGCTTGAAATCCACAAGTCTTAAAGTTGCCAAGTTTGGAGACCTCTTATTTAACCATATATCTATCTATCATCTATCTTTCTCCTATCTATCTATCTATCTATCTATCTATCTATCTATCTATCTATCTATCTATCTACTTTTCTTTCTTTCTCTCATCTTTCTTTTTCTTAACTGCCCATTTCATTCAGAGAGGGGCTCTGGGCTGTAGAGCGACCCTTCTCTATACTTCCACTCATCCATACAATGAGCTCACATTTTCTATCTGAAGTTAAATCACTAGGAATTTGGAAGCCAGCTTTCACAATCCGACAATACTCTACTGCTCTGTAATATTCAAATCAAGCCAAGCTAACTCAACCAAGTCTGAGGTGAGATGAGGCCGAATTTTGACAAGAGAGATTCCCTGGTGTCTGAATAAGGTAAACTAGTCACAACTGAGAAATAGCAAAGTCCTGACAAAGTCACTTCACAAAAGGAAAGTTTTTCCAGCATGAAAAGATTCCTTGTTAAAGAGGATCAAAGTGGCTTCCTACATACTAGCTAACTGGATTTCTGATAGCAACAGAAATGCTGCAGAGAAGTTCAGAGTGTATTGAAGCAAATTTTACTAAGCCGGAGTTCCATGCTTGGAACAAATAAAGTTCCAGCAGCTGCATTTTCCTTCAAGTAGCATTAGTGTTTAGATAGTTTCCAATACAACTGTGTCATTCATGCAGTGATTTTCCAAACTGTGTGCCAAAACTGAAATGGGTCTGCTAAAAAAACTACAAAGCACATTTCCCATCTATAAATGAGACTCTGCAGAAAATACAATCTCCCGGGAAGAAGGGATTTTCTTCTCTTAAAGAAAAACACTACTACACACACACACACACACACACACACACACACACACACACACACACA